CAGCGGCCTGGAGGTCCGACCCTTCGGCTGCTCCCGCTATCGCGCCCGCCCCTCAGGCGCCGCGTCCCGCCACGCCACCTTCCCCGTCGCCTGTCACCTGTCCCGGGTCACCGCCCCGCCACGCCCTGACACTCCTCTGCAGCCGTGTCACCCGCCCAGCCTCCTCCTGCCTGCACCTTCACAGCCTGTCACACACCAGCCACACCCTGACGCCCTCGCCACCCCCGCACGCCGCTGCAGACACTGTCACCTCTGCCACCCTCACGACCTCACCTCAGCCTGGTCACACCCCTGTTACATCGTCACCCCATCGCCACCTCTGGTCACACTCCTTCGTTATTCCTGTCACCCCATCACCTCTTGCCAGCCCCAAGGTGGGACCTGGGATGGACAAAAGGCTCCACGTTCCTCTGAAGGAACTCACGCAGCCATGGCTGGCTGAGGTGAGGCACCTCCGGAGATCACCTGGTCCAAGCCCTGCTCCAGCAGGGTCACCCGGGGCCAGCTGTCCAGGATTGTGTCCAGACAGCTGCTGGACACCTCGAAGGATGGAGGCTACACAACCTCCCTGGCCAGCTGTGCCAGTACGTGGTCATACTCACAACAAAAAAGTGTTTCCTGAAGTTCAGAGGGACCGTCCTGTGTTCCAGCGTGTGCCCGTAGCCTCTGGTCCTGGCTCTGGGCACCACTGGGAAGAGCCTGGCTCCCTCTGCTTTGCACCTTCTCTCCAGTCCCTCATTCACCTTTGTGTCCCTTCTCTGGCCTCTCCCCATTATGTCCCTATCTCCCTGGCACTGAGAAGGCCAGCACTGGACACAAAGCTCTAGGGGTGACCACCACGGCTGAGCACAGGGGAAGCATCTCCTCCTTTCACCTCCTGGCAATGTTTAAATGCAATGGCATTGATTAAAGCAATCCAGGACACCCTTCGTCTTCTCTGTGGCTTATGTTCAGTTTGGTGCCCACCCAGATCCTTTTCAGAAAACCTACTTCCTAACAGAACTGGATGTGATTTTTACCCCTGGAATACTGTGCTAGTGATTGGCCTCCAGCTAGAGTTTGTGCTGCTTCTCACCACATTCTGGGCCAGTTTTCAATCCACCTCACCTCCCCAAGTCCCAGGGCAGCTGCCAACCCCAGCTCTTCCTCAGGCCTGTGTGGGCTGGGTGCAGCCCGACCCCAGCACCAGCCACCAGCCTGAGCTGAAAGAGCAGAGCTTGGGATAAGAGTTGCTTGGTTGTCCTTTGGGGCTGCTCATGGCTGGCCTCAAAACATCAGCTTAGGCTCAGGTGGAAAACAGCCTTGGCCCCAAAGTATCCTTGGAAAGATAAGCATGTGGATTCAACCAGACGCTGCAAAACCCAGTGAGCTTTCCATGTGCCTGAGACTGAATGATGAAAAAACCCAAGACGACTTTATCATTTCATTCTTTTGAGTCCTGACTGAATTCAGTCCAGGCGAGACTTTCACAGGATCTTTGGAAAACAAGAAGGATGTATTCATGATGCTTGCTTTTTCCAAGGCACTCAGCCCTGGGAAGAAAAGGCAGATGTGACACCCACTTCTGCTAAACCTATTAACGAAGCAAGAAGTCCTTTGGGAAGGCTGCCCCATCCAGAGCTCAGCTTACTGGCCCTTCCTGCCAGGACTGCAGAGCGAAGATGAACATCATCTCCTAGGGCCCGGAGGAGATGTAGAAATGCATAGGCAAAGCAGTCAGGGCCCTGCATAAACTGGAGTTCATGGCAGATATGCAAAGGCCAATGCCTGAGTTACTGGTTAAAGCGGCGCCGTGATGCCGGGATGTGCAGGTAGCTGTTTTGCAGAGTGAAGTGGCTGGAGCTGCCCTGCTACACAGCTGAGAAGTTCATCTCTCACAGCAAATTCTGCATGGGACCACAGCAAAATCCCGTGATAAAAGGGAATTTGCCTGCCACAGGGTGCTACTACTTGGGCAGAGACACTCAAGCATAGAGCTGGCCTTTTTTTTTTTCCTGATGGATAATTTTCCTGGGACAGTACACTGGGTTGTCAGCAGTTTCATCACTGGTGACAACTCTGTTGATGCTTTCCAGTGGGACACAGGCAGGCTATTGAACTGGCTTGCCAGGCTGATTCCTGGTAGGAAAGCTGGCCAGTGTGCTGCCAGCTCCTCCAGCTGGTACCTGGGCTGTCCAGCTCTGGGCACCACGGCTGCCTGCTGTCTTCTAATGCTGCCAGGCACTGCCCACAGCAAAAAGCCCTGTTTGCAATTACAGGATGTTTGCCAAGCTTTACCTACTTTCATTGAAATGAAGAGCTGGCTTTACTACTACTACTACTACTACTACTACTACTACTACTATTATTATTATTATTATTATTATTATTATTATTATTATTATTATTATTTAAAAATATGGCCATAAAATCACAGCTGTTTCCCAGAGCAAAGTCAGGGAAAATATTTGTTCAGCCATTAAAACATCACCTTGTCTGAAGACAAGATCTCTGGAGTCTAGTGTTTAGCAAGGGACAAATATTCTGTCAGAGTTGTGCTGGGTCTCTTGCTGACCTTTGAAAAGCTTGGCTGGACAGAACTATAAACTTCTTAAAAATCTGCACCCCACTTTCCTGCATCTGAAAAACCTCCTGGCTGTCCAGTGATCCCATCCTTGGTCACCATCCCATCATGGCTCTGCTGGGTCACTCAGCTCCTCTCCCCATCCTGCTGAAACATGCTTCAGGTTGAAGCACCACAGCCATGGACTGGTGCAGAGACCTGGTTTTAGGGTTATCTTTGTAGTCTTAATCAGTCAACACTCACAAAGCAGTGCTTTGAAGACAGCTTTTAATTCATGCCCTCATGTTCAGCTTGTTCATTGGATCCCCATCCCACCTTGCCTGCAAAGAGGAACTCCAGGCTATGCCCCATGAATGCTGTTCCCTCTTTTTCATCCCAAAACACTCAATTTCTGGTATCGAGTGCTGTATGTGATGAAGATCCTGCAATGAAGGATGCTCATCCCTGCACCTAACAAGGCCAGGAAGTGAGGTTTCTTCCATGAACTGGATGTGGTTATGACTCAAGATGCATTTTGAAGATGAGTTTTGACATGTTCTAGTGAGAAATAAAATTGGCTTTGCCAGGGCATTGATCTTTCTCACATATATATGATTAGATTCACTTGTATCCCTCATCTCAAAAAAGCTGTGGCAAAGCATCACTGGCTACATCAGCTTTGGTGGGAGACATACACATTTAAACAGACCTGCCACCCACTGCCATTGGCCCTGGGCATCCAGCATGGATAAGTCAGAGCACATTGCTGTGCCATGGTCTGGATCCAGAAACAGGGAGACTTACAAATGATTCTCCACACCCTCACAAATCTCCTAAAACTAGGCATGCCTGCGGGGACAGCTGCCTTCAGGACTGGTGCCAGTGTTCCCCCGGTTTTACAGCCAGATTGTGACAAAGCAGAGTCTGTAAGAGGAAGATTGCCATGTCACAGACAGTGGAACCTCCACCATGGTGTAGATGCACCTCAGGTGTGAGCAGGGGGCCAGTGTTTGCCTGCACTCCTCCGGAGTCTTCACCACCCAGCAGCTGGACTGAGTCCTGTCTGGCACAGTTGGTGAGGAGGAGCCTGGAGGCAGTGCCTAATCAGGAGCTGGTGCTGCAGGAGCAGGAGTGACTTGCACCCCAGGAGACCCCTGGGAGAGCTGTCCCTTTGCCATCGCCCCCTGTCACTGCAGCCAATCCTCCACAGATGCATTTGTACTGATCAGTTTCCAGTTCTGCATATGTACCTCTACCAGAGCAGTTCACCTTGGAGACCAGGTACTGGTGGAACCATGACCAGCCCATGTCCTTGACCCACAAACCATGGGTTCGCCCAGTTTTGCAGCTCTCCGAGGAGGTCAGCACTGCCAAAGAAGCACGACCCCCATGGCAGCTCTCACAGGCAGCATGAGATTCCTTTATGAGACCAGCACAAACCTCTTCCTTTGTCCAAAGGCCTGGCTGCCTCCTTGCCAATGCTGCTGGGAGACAGGCACTTCTCACAAGGAATTGTAGCCTCCCAGCAGCCTGGCCATAACCTCGGAAATAATGAGTTTTCGGCTCCGTGGAGAACCAAGCCAGCCTGACTCTGCATGGAGACAAAGCCTGAAGCCTGCTGCCAGTTCTGCCCACAGCAAGACGAACACGGCTCTTCTGTGAGCTCACACAAAGGCTCCCTTGTGCAGGAAGGGATCCAGCCAAACAAATGATCTCCTTGGCTGCATGTCTCCTGGTGCTCCATCATTTTTACTATTTGCTGGATTGTTCCCACAACCAAGGAAAATTTAACAAGTAAAAGCATCTGATAAAAATCTATCAACCACAGTAAAGCACCAACCCAGCCAAACCAGTCTGTACAGCACAACCCTCACAGCCTTCAGGACACATCCATTCAATTTACCACCCAGAAAAACAAATGCTGTGTGGTACTTGCAACGTCACTAGTGTGGAGTCTCTGAGTAGAGTTTGTGTTACCAAAGCACAGTGAGATGTTTGAAGGCTGCTTCCCAAGCCTGGTTCCCTGTTGTGCAAAGACAAGTTCTTATGTCATTTCCATGGCATCTTGTGCTTCTCCTCTTGTGTTTCCGGACCACGCTGCTCCCCTTGCTGCTGGCGTTAGCACTGAGGTCTTGACTCCTGGTGACAGCTCTCCTGGCCAGGTGCCTGGCAGGAATGATGCACCTTGTCTTCACTGAGGAACTCTGCAAGAAAACAGTTTTTGGCCACTGGTGCCTTCAAGTCTCACAGTGTTACTCACAGATGGTTTAAAACTTGCCTTGGAGACAAATCTCAAGGCAAGTTTTGACTCCAAGACAAAATTTGAACCACCTGTGAGTAATCCTGGAAGACTTCCAGTGCTGTGATGGATGTTGTTGGTTCTGTGCTGGAGGCAGCAGCTGGAGCAGAGACTCCCATGGCAAAGGCATGCATGGCCTGGATGGGTCAGGTACCAGCAGAACGAGGCCACCTGCATGTTTGTCTTGGTTGAGTTTCTTTCAGCAGATGTTGAGCACACATGAGCAAACCCATCTACCACACAGAGGCATGGGTGTTTGCCATCCTCAGCAAAGGTGGCCAGGGACCATGTGACCAGCAGGGAATGACTCCAGGCAGGCAGAGAGATTGCACAGGAGATCTGCTCTGCAGCTTACTTATCCAGCTCCTGGAATGCACCTCTGGATGGGAACCTTGCTTTTGGATTGAAGCACACATGGAGGCTCTCAAGGGTGCTGCCTGCAGCAGCGGTGGCAGGGCACTGTTCCTGGTGTGACCCGTGGTGCTCCAATGCATGCCCTGTGCAGCTCACTGGAGTCATTTGTCTGGAGTTTCCATGGAGTGTCCTGGTCATGGAGAGGGCACCAAGAGACATTTTGTAAAGTGACTTGCTACCTTTTGTAGGACACTGGAATCAGTGGACCATTAAAATTCTTTTTAGTCCAGTCCTACATGAAATCCCTCCTTCCTGATAAGAAGAGGATATCAGATCAAAAGAGATGGAGTATTAAGAAAGCTAAGGCAGAAGAGGAAGTGTCTGAGGGGGCCTTTGTCCACTGTCATAACAATGGTACAAAGAGCTTTTCCAGGACAAACATCTTCACCATGGACAGACAACAACCTGAAATTCTTCATTTTTCTTTCTGTAGCAAGTTGGAAGTTTTACAGCCTATGTAGACTCTCCCATATTAAGGAGAAGAGTATTTCAAACCTGGGGTTGTATTGCTATGTTTTGTGCAGAAAGGAAGGCAGAAAGTAGAGGGCAGTTAGGTTCTGGGCAGGAAGAACAGTCTCTAAGCCAAGTCTTTCTAGCAGAGGATGATACAGTAGTCCTGGAAGTAGAGCAGCACAGTTAGAGGGGGGCCCAGGACCAGGCTGATCCTACACATTACTGTAGCAAGCCATTTCCATAGGCAGGACAGTAGGATCTGTCAGGAAAAGCAAACAGTGGTTACAAGCAGAAGTCTGGTCAGTTGGTAAAACCATTCTCTGAGGGATGTGCATGCCCTTAACTGGAGGACAGATCCATACTGAATTAGCTTTTCTATTATAAGGATGATGACTCAATTTATTTCTACGGGGTGCCCTTGCCAAAGGGCTCTGTGTCTGTGTAGTTCATAATAAAACAATTAAAAATCCCATTAATGCTAAAATCTTACCAGGCTAGCACAGAAAGGGTCTTTCCCTTCCCACAGAGCCAAGAGCTGCCAGACCTACAGTTCTCATGGGAATGGAAAAAGTATGGAATTATTTTTAAAGGCTGGAATTGGCTAAATGGGAAGGATTACAGGAGGTCACAGGTTTTGCACTCAGAAATCATTGCTGTTTGACAAACTGTTACAGTGAGGAAATCTGTGTGATCATGTCTTGTATTGTCTCTGTACAACAGTAGCTGAGATGTAGTTAAGAAAGCATGAAGGATCCAATGTTAGTGGGAATTCATTGACTAAATTTTGGAGGGAAACTTAAGTTAAAATTAATCCAAAAAAGGGAAAGAAAGCCTTGAGATTCACAGCTTCTTCCAGGCCACCAGTCTATGACATTGCTCCCACTAAGTAGAGCAAAACTAAGCTGGCCAGCCAGGACACCTGTCCCAAGGAAAAATTTTCCAGCTTTGTCCACCTGTTTTTCTTATGGCCTTATCACTTTAGTCTAAGGAGCGAGAATCAAGAGTATACAAAGAGAAGTCTCCTTAACACTCCATTCCTACCTAGGATTGGGACACCACTGGCTTCCCCAGGCTTCCCCAGAGCAATATCTGGAAGTCACAAAGCAACATTCTTGGAATAAGTGACAGTATAATGTGTGCTACAAATTCTTCTGTCACAGAAGCAGGAGATGCCATGCAGACCAATGGCTCATCCAGTTTCTGCCTTTATTCCTGCCTACAGCCAGCTATCCCAACTCATCAGTGGGAGGATGTGAAAGTTCCCTACATTTTGTTGCATGATCTATCCCTAATCCCTGTGGATCTGGGCTGTTCTAACACCTGCAAAGCTGTAGGATGCCTGAAGACATGAGTGACTGATGGAGTACCCAATGATTAATGAAATGGTTTGCATGGCAGAACAGGGTCAGATTTAATGGTCTGTGACAGAAAGCTAGTCAGGGCCAAAATCCAGAGGACAGACACTTTCAGGGACATCTCTGCCTGTTGGGTCCTTTGCAGTGGGAGGCAGAGCCTGGCACAGCCACATTTGCAAAATTGCCACAGTGCCACTTTCCTCCAGGCATACTTACCTTTAACAGACTTTTTTTTCCCATCCATTGTGTCCTAGGTCTTGGGAAAGTAAAATTTTTCTTCAAAGGGCAGGTAAAGGTCTCACCTTTAACCATTGAAACTTCTAACTTAATCCAGAATTCAGTCTGAACCCAAGTTAGCAGATTGTCAGCATAGGTGGAAGACCAAGAACTGCAAGCAATCAAGCTACCAAAACACTGGGGACCTGGCTACTCAGTAGTTGCAGTACAAGCATGCTGGAGTGTAATCTCATCAGTCTGTGAAGTTCAAGAGTTATTTTGCAGTGATTCCTCTTGCTAGAACTCACATCAGTATTTAAAACCTTCTGTTGGCTCACTCCTGCTCCCAAATCTTATTTCTTTGCTCTAGATGTGGTTGCAGCTCAAGGCAAGTTTGGGGTTGGCAACCAAAGCAAAGCACGCAGTCTGAGCTGCTGCACGTAAAACTGTGATTTCCATGCATGAGAAGCTGAGGCTGTGACCAGGATGGCTGTTCCTGTGACCTGCTTTTCAGGAACTCACAGGGAGAAGAAATGCAGCCAGCCAGGACTGCCACTTGCCATAACCATTGTGCAGGAAGGGCTTGTGATGTGTTTATTTACAGAGCATAGAAAAATGGGTGAAAAAATGATAGACACTATTAGTCACTAATATCAGGATTAATCACACACAGCAGGATTATGTGGTTTGCATGAGTCAGCCCCAAAATGCTGAGGAGCTGCTCCAGGTGCACACACACCTGAGTGAGGGGAACATCTCACGCACAGCTAAGGATTCTGCTGGAAACGTGGTTGTCTTCCAAGACTTTGGCGTTGAGTGATGGATCTCTGTAGGAGGCTGCCCTGAGCTGCTGAAACAGAGTCTAAACCTTCACACACTGCCCAGCCCCTTGTGCTTTGATACAGGATCTGTTTAAACCCCTCCTTGGCATCTTTTACTGTGCACACATCAGAAATACAGTGACATAGGAGGAGGAGAACGTAAAAAATGAACTTCTGAAGTTAGGCTCTCTGTCCATACCGAGTGTTGAGGAATACATCTGGTCCAGGTAGCTCAATTTGCAAACTGCAGATTGAGATGCAGATTGAGCTCCGGGTAGGGGCCTGAGACAAGAGGCTGTGAATTGCCACCTTTTGGGATAACAAAGGGTGCGAGGATAGGTGACGGCC